CTCGGAGACTGTAGGGGAGGCAAGGTGCAGGTGAGCACGCACACAGGAAACCCTACTCCAAGTTAGCAGAAACTCAATACTTTTAAATGACCTTTTGGTTCAAAGGGAAATAGGCTAGAGAATTGAACTGAAATGGAGACTTTTTAGGTACTAAAAAATATGATGAATTTTACTTTAATCTTCAGAAGAAATAAAGTTCAGCCAGGAGATCTTGGAAGAAAAGCTGTCAACATTTAAGATATGGAGGTAAAATCCTGGTTGGAATGTCTTACCCTACTCAGCATGGCTCACTTCCTTGAATCCTTTTAGAGGCTGTTCTCCAAAATAAAGAAAAATGAAAATAGACAACAGAAAGCACGATGAAAAGAACCTTGCTTCACTACACTACCCAGCCTCGTGCAGAGGGAAGAAATGCCGACAAGCTCATCACACTTCATAAGAAGCCTATTAACTCAAGGATTGTCTTTTCTGAGGGACAAAGACAGAAACTGTAGTCTGTGTGACTTGTAAAGCAAGCAATCTTTTAAATTTAACTCTTAAATCATCTTACATAAAATGTATAGTTCGATGCATTTCAGCACCTGTGTACAGATTTGTGTGACCACAAGCAGGACACAGAACAATTCCATTATCCCCCTAAACTTTCCCTAACACCCAATCCCTGGCAACCGCTAATCTGTTCTCCACACCATAGTTCTGTCTTTTGGAGAATGTCATATAAATGGGATGGTGTAGTCTGTAACGTTTTAACACTGGCTTCTTTTGATCAGGGTGCCTTAACCCAAGTTATCATGTGCATCCTTCTCTCCCCGAGTAGAGATGTGTTGTGTGAATGTAGCGCTGTTGTTTGTTCATTCTCCTTTGGAAGACATTTGGATTGTCCCCAGTTCATGGAGGCTATGAACACTTTTATGTACAGGTTTTTGTGCGAACATGAGTTTTAATTTTCCTAGCACCCAGCAGTGGGATGGCTGGGTCCCCTATGGTAAGTATATGTTTAATTTTGGAAGAAGCCGCCGAACTGTTTTCCACGGTGGCTGTACCGTTATGCATTCCCACCAGGAGTGCATGAGGGTCCCAGCTGGTCTTCAGCCTTGCCAGTTCTTGGTATTGTCAGCATTTTTTATTTTAGCTGTTCTAATAGGTGTTTGGTAGTATCTCATCGTGGTTTTCATTTGCCTTTTCCCTTGTAGCCAATGATTTATGTGTCTTTTTATGTGCTTATTTCTCACCTACATGTCCTCACTGATGAGGCATCCAAGCCTTTTAAGTATTTGTAACTGGTTGTTTCTTTTCTTATTGTTGAGTTTTGAGAATACTGAATAAGGTCTGAATGCAAGTTCTTTGTCATACATGTGATTTACAAGTTTTTTTTCTTCTAGGCTGTAGCTTGTTTTTTCATTTTCTTTTGTTATTAGCAGAGCAAAGTTGCTAATTTTGATAACATCTAATTTATAATTTTTCTTATGCGTTGTGCTTTTGGTGTTATGTGTGAGGAATTCTTTCCTAGCCCCAATGTATGAAGAATTTTCTACTATTTTTGCTAAAAGCTTTTAGTTTTACTAAAACAAACTATTTTTCAATAGCTGAAAGAAAACTGAGGCAGTAAATGGGGGTATAAATATTTTGGATTGATATTTTCTATGTTCCAAACATCTAAGCTACCTAGAATATTGCATATAACATCTGTGAAATACAAAACAAATTTCAAAAGGAAAGGTATTGATAACTTTAGAAGAAAAAAATTCCAACAATATACTTCATTATGAAATCCTCAATTCCCTCCCCCAAAGAGGGGCATGCAATGGAGTTGTTTAATACGAAAGTGCTGTTCTGTGTTGAGTGCAATTGGATATGGAAAACCTTATACATCTTGACGTTAGTCTCAGTAGAAGAAAGAAATTTCTTTTCAAGTGTCCAACTCTAAGATCAGTTTCTACCAGCCCGTGAAATTTATCATTTTAATGAAAACTCATTGACAATCCCAGGGAAACTGTTGTAATGTATTAAGTATCTACCAAGTGGTTTTATAAATATACACCTTCAAAAAAATTCTTTGAAAAAGCTTTGCAAATTAAGCAATTCCCTCATCAGCCTCTCCCAAACAACAACTGATTGCAAGGTACAAACAAAGAATTGTGCCATGGGGGCATACAACCACATGAATTTTTTCAAGGCTGATCAAAAATGTAACTGTCACAAAACACAAATGAGATAGCTAACTCTGCTCTATGGGATATTAATAGTCTACTTTTCCAATAATCCACTACCTTTGCGAGGTAAAATAACAAACTGTTTTCACTAAAGAAAATGAAAAGAATTTACAAGTTAGTTTTCTGTTATAGCTCTTAGTTACTTCAGCTGAAGACAGAACCACCTATGTGTTCTGCCTGAAATAATTTCAATATCCTGAGATTTCTTCCTAGGAAAGTGAAACCCTGCCAAAGGAAGAAATAGTAAATCCACTTTGAAGCAGAATTCTAAACTATAAATATTCCTGGGCTCCTCATTGATACAAGCTGTTCCATATAAATGAGCCAGTAACTTTATATTACAGTGAATGCACATATAAAGATTACCTCAAGAAAAGCTACCACTAGACTACTAAATAGTATCTAAAGTTAAACAAAAAGGGCCTAAATATTTTCAGGGAATCAGAGAACTGAGTAGGAGAGACTCTGTGGAGGCCAGATTTTGGTTCTTATCACCCTCACACCCACCGGCTCCGTGACCCTCGCTCCGCAAAGCTCAAGAGGCTGTCAATTCTGCGGCTCTTTCCTCAGAAACGATGATTATTTGTAGAGTACTTTTTTGTTTTTAGGGAAGAGGCTGTAGCATGGTGCAAAGTTGCTCTGGGTGAGGGGAAAGAAGAATGAAAACTTTTTCTAGCCATTGTCGACATAGACCCACCCTTGATTCTTTTTGACAGAATATTTCCTAATGAACTTGTGAACGTGAGCCATCTTCACTGGAAGTGGGGTGTGTGTGTGTGTGAGTGTGCGCGCGTGTGTGCGCTCACCCAGGGGCTCCTATGTGGCCTTTCTAATGCCTGTGTACTTGGTGGCTCTGCTTCCCTGCTCCAGGGAAGTGTCTTTCTATTCTCCCTTCTACCTCTCCACCTGCTTAGCTGTCAAGCCAGCCGGACGCTTTCATTCATTTTTTTAATTGAAAGATTCTTTTTCGAATTAATGTGAGACATCTGGACATGGCGGTATTATACACAGGGTGGGGCAAAAGTAGGTTTACAGTTGTGAGTGTGCAAAGCACAGAGTTTATTCTTGTATTATTATTGATTGATTATTACATTATTTTCCATACAGGCAACTCTAAATCTACCACTTTTGCTCTACCCTGTATACTGCTAGTCTAGTTTTGCTAGAACTCTAGCTTCTAGTTTTTAAACTTTAATGTTTTCTAAAACAATATTTTTTTAATATTGTGGACAAAAAAGGGGCCACACACTAAACCTGACAAGGTCAGGGGAGGCCTGCGTGGTGGCCTTACAGACTCAGAGACCGAGAGCAACCACAGAGGATGGTTTAAAGTGAAAACTTCTTCATTAAAACTCTGGTGGGTAGTCATGTGTAGGCTGGTAACGTCCTTGACAAATGTCAGTCTTCACCTTAACCGAGCCTGCCTATTGTCTTTTTGTGTCTAAAATAGCATACCTTTGGAATGTCTGAGTAATCCCCCTTCCTCTCCCGACCCCTCAGGGCACAACCTCCCACCAGAGCACAAGACCACTGAACCCCTCATTGTTATCTTCTTGCCCACACACCATCTCTGTGCGCTGTGAACGCCCATTGGTAACTGTCCCGTGCCCGCCCAAGTAAAAGAAGCACGTGTCTCTCCATTTTACTCTTTATCCAACCTCAGAGATTTCCCTGCTTTGCTTTCTTGCACCTCCCTGATCTACCTCCACTGAATGACTCATAACCCTCCTCAGGCCTCCTCCTTTGACTGTAACATATAAAATAAGCTGCAAAATTTCCATTCTCTGGAACATTTTCTCAATCTGTTGAGATTTTGCTTCCCAGCAACTGTCATCAGTTTGGCTCAGATAAACTCGTAAAAAGTCTGTACAGGTTTGGACATCTCTTACATGGCAATACACAAAAAAGGAAAGTATACAGAGCTAAAAATGGATGAACTCGAGGAGACAATATGAAAGTACTGACAGAGGTCACGACAGACAAGATTGCACAGATCTGTCGCAGGGTTCGGCACATTCACGCACAAAAGTTAGAGCTGTAAGGAGGAAAAATGTCCTCTACTTTCTTAGGTCCAGTGACTGGGGCCTACAAATTTAACTGGCAGGGGACAGGTTAACAGGAGAAAAGGCTTATTTTGGATGTGCATGGGGGCTTCACAGAGAGGAAGCGAAAACCCAGAGGTAGTTCCCCCAGGAGCTGACGTACCGCTTTAACGAAGGGTGACCGCACTGTAGAGGGGTGGCCAGATGAAGGAGAAGGGGTGTGGGCTCCTAGGGGAACAAAATGTGGGAAGGCGAGGACGTGGGGAAACTAGGGGAAGACGGCGCTTATTTCAGCAGGTCTGTTCATGCACACTCAGGTCAGCTGTCCCCAGTGACAGTCACCTCTGCTGACTGTCTTCTCTTCGGGTATAGGAGCAGGAGCCGACTTTACAAATGGAAGTTAATGTCACTTTATAAAGAGAAATTCATGCCTTGCTTTTTCTCAGAAAGGAGGAGGGTGGAGTGCTCCTCCTGTGTCTGCTGTTTCCTAATAATTGCCTTCTGCTCAAAATAGCCCTTCTGCCAAAGGGGCATGTTCTGAGCTGGCGTGTTCTGATCTCCTTCAGAACTGCCTCGTGTTGCTGGCCGCCTGCATACTTCCCTTGTTCTATGTTGGTTCAGAAGACTATTTCCATATCAAAACCACACTTCCTCATCTGTATTCACCATTTAGAATGAGAATGAGAGTTCCAGGATTAAATGCTTCAATATAACACTCAGTTCATAAAGCATCAACCTTACTCACTTCTGGTGTTTGAGCCACTGAATTCCATATAACTGGTCTCTGAAGAAACACAACTTGCTTTGTAGCCAAATTCCCTTCACTGCAAAGTAAAACAACAGCATTAGTATTTGTGAATTAGTAATTCTCCATATTTCACATGTGGCTAGAATGTCCCTTTGTAAAATAACCTCCCAATCCAAAAAAAATTAAGAAATAATTTTATATAAGTTGCAACTGGAAAAACAAAGAGAAAAATCCCCCAAAATGGAATACGGCCATTACAAAAGAAAATTTTAATGTTAAAACTTTGTGACCTCATTATACTAACATAACTTTTCGCCTATGTCCCCTTCTAGTCTTTGTCTACGTAATGCATTTCTGTGCATCTGTAACCACCGCGTACCTGCATTTCTGTGTTCTGTGCTTCTCACGTAACATCCTGACCTTGTTTGTACACTGTGGCTGTATTCTTAATAATTGCATAGTATCTCAAGGACTTAAGACACCAAAATATACTAAGTCTTTCCTTTATTTTAAAAAACTAGGGTATTTCCAGTTTTCCGTAGTTACAAACAATGCTGCTATAGAACTATGTATAGTTTTCCCGTTCTTATGACTCAAGAAATATGTATAGTCTTCTTATTCTTATGACTCGAGGAAATCTTGAGATAAATTCTCAGGAACAGGATTACTAAGTCAAAAGCGTATGATTTCAAGTTTCTGTTTGCATTGTGAAATTTGTCTTTTGAAGAGAAGAGACTAATTTGAGCTGCCACACGTGAAGAATTTTGTATGGCTTCTCAGCCGAGGGCCTTGAGCCACAGCTATTAGTTCTCCTTGCAGATGCTGCTTTGTGAGCAGCTACTCAGCATTCCCTTCGTTTAACGACCATCATGGCACATTACCCTTTGCCAAAGACGACTCGGGGTTTGGATTTCCCTGAAATGTTTTTCACAGAGTCTCCATGGATTTATGGGGAGGAGTGTCTGTAGCTAATGTTGCTCAGTTACGACTTTTATTATGCAAAAAACCCCCAACAAAACCTCACTATTAGCTGAATTTTATGCTGAGCTCCCTTTTCTGGAAAACAAATGCAACATTGAAACTCTGGCCCTTAGAGGTGTATGTCAAACCCACAGCACTTGAGCATCCCAAACTTACCGATACTGTCGAATTTTGAGACACAAGCAAATCTTCCCCCAAAGTGGGCAGGGGAGGGGGCTTCTTTTTCTTTCTTTTTAATTTTAAAAGACTGCTTCTGGTCTAATCTCATTTTAGTTTGACTTTAGAAGGAATAGACTTGATATGAAACGTATTGTAACTTTTTAGAACGCCTTAAATCCTCAGGAGCCCTCGGTTGTGACGCAGGCGAACAGGGAAGCGTGGAGCAGTGTCCAGAATGCCCCGTCTCTCTCTGGCAAGAGGAAGTGTTTGTTTGCATTGTGAAATTTGTCTTTTAAAGAGAAGAGACTAATTTGAGCTGCCACATGTGAAGAATTTTATATCGCTTTTCAACCGAGGATCTTGAGCCACAGCTACCAGTTTTCTTTGAAGATACTGCTTCCTGTACCGGAAAAGGAACCCGGAGTGGCTTTGGAACCAGAAGTTCTTGGGTTCAAATCCTGACTCTCCCATAGCACTTGGTAGCTGATGACTTTAGTGAAATCCTTAAATTCTCTGACTTTCTTTTCCTATCAGGGACCGTGTGAAGGATAAATAAGTCCATGTCCACGAAGACCCTCTAGTGTGCCTGCCACCGGAAGGAGCACAAAAATGTAATTTCCTTCCACTTCCTCCCTTTACTTAATGAAATGTGGGGTGGGGTTAAAAAGGAGGGAAATGTCTCAGAATCATGAATAGAAAAATTGAGGGAAACGTACACAAGAATAGAGGTTTCTGGGTAATGTTCTAGGTGTGTGATCCACTCAGAGAATCACATGATGGAACAAAGGCCTGCCACTATCCAAAAATGCGGAGGAAAGAACAGGGCAGAATTCTTCTCAACTAGAAAGCAGGAGAAGACCAGGGGAGGGACTGCGGGTGGCGCTGAAGGACTCGCAGGGCGGGGCAAGTCTGAAGGCCCTGGGAGGGGCCGTGTGTCCTAGAGCAGGCTTCTCCGCCTTTACCGACAGGGCTAAACGGTAAATGTGGAGATGGCCTCTCAAAGGCTGGCTACCTTAGGTCAGTCTCCAGATGCCCGGATAAAACTTTGGAAGGTCAGCATCTTCCCACATCTTGGGAGGTCCTTAGAGCCAGGTCTTCAGTTTGAAATATGCCTGAGCCCTCTATGTCCTCATCTTCTGAGGGCCATTCTGACTTAAAATAGGTCCAGCTATTTTCAGAACCTCTGTGAGATGTGGAAGCCCTTTTGACTGGAGAATCGAATCGTGGTAGAACTGAGGGAAGCAGGTCTGGAGCCTCACAGAGCGATAACTAGTGGTAAGGGCATGAGAGTCCCTCACGGTCTCCGAGGCCCCTGAGGTCACTATATTTACTGAGCTGGGACAGAACACAGGATGGGGCAGAGTAGGTTTACAGTTGTGAGGACATGAAACAGTTTATCCTTGCATTATTATTAATTGATTATTGCATTATTTTCTATACAAACATTTCTATGTAATCCTATTTTGCCCCACCCTGCATTTACCCAGCAGCACAGACTTCTGAGAGGATTTGACTACTGAGGTCATTATGGGACTAGAGAGTGCTTCAAATGCCCCGGATGCTCGCAGGGGACAAGGCCTGCACCTCCTCTCCCTACAGAAATTGTCAGCCAAAAAGTGCAAGAGGCAGAAGGAAATGAGTTCTACCAGTTCTACAGCTCTGCGTTACCAAGTGTTGGACACATCCTTTTCCTGTGATGTGTTTCTCAGAGAGGCAGTGAGGGAAATGGCATGAATGGCTTTAGAGTCAGACGGATTCTGGGTTTGCATCCCACTCTGCTGCTTGCTAGCTAAGTGACACCGAGCTAGTCACCCAATCGTTTTGAGCCTCCTGTTCCTTTTCTCTAAAACACAGACATTTCTGATGGTATCAGTGAGATAGTGGATGCAAAGTTCTTAGCACAGACCCTGGGCACAGCAGATGCTCAATAAAGGTTTCTTCCTCCCCCCTTTTCTTCTTCCATGTATTTCATAAGGAAACAAGAAGATGACGGTATTTAAGTGTTGTTTATGGGAGAGGGTTTTGCAATGGTATTAATAGACTATCAAGAAAAAGCCTGGCCTTGGCTGGTGTGGCTCAGAAGATTGAGCACTGGTCTGCGATCTGGAAGGTCACTAGTTTCATTCCTGGTCAGGGCACAGGCTGGGGTTGCGGGCCAGGTCCCCAGCTGGGGGCTTCCCAATAACAGAAGATCTCATGGATAAAACTAAAAACAGCAACTTCATCTTGTGTAGTGCTTTTAGTGCACTGCGTACTTTCCATGTAAATTAGCATTTGTTTCTTATGATAGTCCTTATTATTATTACTTTTTAAAGATTTCATTCATTTATTTTAGAGAGAGGGGAAAGGAGCGAGCGGAGAAGGAGAGGGAGAGAAAGCTTCTCATGCTACCCCAACCGGGACCTGGCCCACAACCCAGGCATGTGCCCTGACTGGGAATGGAACTGGTGACCCTTTGGTTCGCAGGCCGGCACTCAATCCACTGAGCCACACCAGCCAGGGCTATGATAGGCCTTTAGAGTGCACGGAGAAGACATTTCTCCTCATTTTATGGATAAGGAAATTGAGACCCAGAGTTCTGAGAGCTTTGTCTTGGTTACCTCAGTCCCCACCCTTTCCACAGCACCACACTCCCTCCACTGTAAGTGCAGAGTGACGTCAGCAAAGCTCTGACCACAGGGAGGGCAGCCTAGTTTAGTTTCCTTCTCACTGGAAAACTGCAATACATGGGTGAGTGCAGACTGTTCTGCAGAGTCCAGTTTCGTCTGCAGCATCTCCCAAATTTAGCATTACAGTTCAAGGTTGTGGTGGGGAATAATGAAGGAAATAAAAACAAGCGTTCATTTTTCCCAGGCCAGTTAGACTGTGTAGACAGACCTCACAGGTCCGGTGGCAGCGTGGCAGAAGGACGGCGAGACGGGAGCCCGTCCGTGACCTGCAGCATTGGGGCTGCGCGTTAAAGATGCAACACTGAAATCTCTGCCTCAAAAAACTGCCCCGGTGAATTCAATTATGAAAAGAAACAAGCAAGAAAAGTAGAAAGTAATTCTATCAGAGTCCGATAATATCTGTGGTGATATTTAAATTTTAAAATGATTTTTGCTGGCAGTTACAAGGACAACATGAAATTCTGCTTGGTCTAATATTGCTTCTGATTTCAAGCATCTGTGAAACAGAGCCGGAGTACCTAGAATTTATGGGGAGCTGGGAGACAGTCTACAGTCTTTCAAGTATAAGAACCCAGGCCACCTTTGCTTGTTTTGTGGGAACTGTCCCCTCAATCCAGGCTAACTTCCTGTTGGTGGCATTCTTCCCCCGGGATGTCCTGCCACCGCCCCTGCCTCTTCTCAGCCTGCCCATCTTTTGAGGTTCATTTCAAGTGTGACCGCTTTCAGAAAGCTTTCAATGATCCCTCAACTCAAGAGCAGCACCCCCTTTTGGGGGCTCCTATGGATCCCTTGGGTGGAGCTTACTCCGTATATATATATACGAGCTCCCGTGGCCACTGGGACACATTTCCCTCCCAGGACATGAAGCTCCCTGAGGAGTTTGTCCTCTCCTCTCTGCATCTCCTATGTGAAGTAGCAGAAAATCCCTTTTAAGATGGGACTCAGTAAATATTTGTAGAATCAAAGACTTTATGAATAAGCAGTCATTTGATTTCTGTGGTAATATATTAATGCCAGAGAACATGCTTTAAAAAAATCCTAGCAAGTGAGCAAAAGCCTGCAGGAGAGATGAAAGGCTTCCTCGGTCTTTTCACATCCAGCAAGGTCATTGACATTCAGTGTGAATCTTTTAGGCTTTAACTGGTCCTTCCCCTCAGCACATTCTTCAGGCTCTCCAGCCTGTGGTAACTACAGCTTAGAGAATTTTATGTTAGCTTGGAATAGAAATAGTAAAATTTCTTGTTCTACTCAAACATAAAAACAATTC